TGGAGGCAGAGATGAAGGGGTGGATCTGAGATAGGGTTGGAAGGAGGTGGGGAGGCCCTGTTGATGGATTTCACATGGGGACCAGGAAAAAGGAAGGGACGAAGGTTGACACCCAAGGGTTGGTCTGGGCTCCTGGGCGGATGCTGGATGCTTTTGACCCAGGGCAGGAGCCTCAAGGTGAGGAAGGCAATCCAGACTTATCCCTCGGAACGTGACAGTATTTGGAGATAGGACCCTTGAAGAGGTGATTAGAAATTAGCCGGGCATGGTGGCACATGCCTGTAGTCCTAACTGCTCAGGAGGCTGAGGCAGGAGGATCTCTTGAGCCCAGGAGTTTGAGTTGCTGTGAGCTAGGCTGACACCACGGCACTCCAGTCCAGGCAACAGAGTGAGACCCTGTCTCAAAAAAAAAAAAAAAAATTGAAAAGCAAAACGCTCCCTCAGTCTCATGGCGGTGGTTAATACTTGTTACTCATTCACTTTGTTATGTTCCCCCATGGTTTTTTCCAAATCATTCAGCTCATAGAACTCATCTCTTATTTTTTTCATTTGATAATATATCAGCTCGATGCTTAGTATATAGAAGGCAGTCAATAAATATTTTTTTAATAAATGAGTTACGAGGTCTTAATTACTGTATTGGACTCCCAGGGCTGCTGTAACAGATCAGCACAAACTATGGGCTTAAAACAACAGGAACGGATTCTTTCCCAGCTCTGGAGGCCAGAATTCCAAGGTAAAGATGTCCGCAGGGTTGGGTCCTTCTGGAGGATATGGGGAAGACGCTGTCCCACCCCTCACTCCCGGCTCCTGGCGGTGGGTGGCATGGCCGTGTTCTGCGGCTTGTGGACATATCACTCCACTCTCTGCCCTCTTCGCACCGGCTTCTCCTCCACGACTCTGTGTTCTCTCCTCTTCTATCTCTTACAAGGACAGGTCCCTGGGTTTAGGAACCACCCTAATCCAGGATGATCTCATCTTGAGGTGCTTAACTCGATAACATCTGCAAAGACCCTTATTCCACGTAAGGTCACGTTCTCATGTTCCAGGTGGACGTATCTGGTGGGGACCACTATACATCCCACTTCAATTACCACCACGTTAGTTTATTTTTATGACTTGATTTTTGACATCAAAATGTGCTCAATATCAAGAATCGCAGAACACTATGAATATGTGAACTAACACACACCCTCCTCCCCCTGCCGGAAAGCACTCCTCGCTGACAGGGGCATCACTCCAAGCCTCTCTCCTGTAGATGCGCGCAGAGAGGACGACCAACGGAGAGATCCACAGATCATTGACGTGAACACGGGGTCATATTCTATACAAGGCAGCAACATTAACTTTAATTTAACAAAAGAAAAAGAAATCATAAGTGCAATTGAAGGAATTACTGAACTTCAGGTAAATGTTTTTTTCACCCCATGGGACAAATTAGTTTCTAATCAATGCCTCTGTGTTGAGAAAAAAGATTATGAAAAAAATTAAGCATTTAGAGGCATTTTTAAGGAATTCATATCAATTTAAATTGGCAAGTGCTGTTCATCACGTGATATCTAGTAATTGAACTGTCTGTCTTCTGATCTGGGGCGACTTAGGTTTTTGCGCGTAGGTGTTTCCTTCTGTATTAAGATTTGTTTCGCTAAAGGCAAAACTGCATATACGGGATCACAAAGTCAGAGTGTGGAACACTCCGTCCCTCTCTTCCCTAAACAAGACTTCTGTCCGTGTCCTTGAAGTGTGTGTATATTTTTCCTTGTGTTGAGGTGACCCTCACACGACATGCGATTAACCATTTAAAGTGGACAGCACAGTGGCATTCAGCACGTTCACGCTGTTGTGCAACCATCTAGTTCCAAACGTTTTCATCATTCCAAAAGAACAAACCCACACCCATTAGCAGTCACATCTCATTATATCCTTTCCCCACCCCCTCGCAACCACCAATCTGCTTTCTGCCTCTAGACTTTTGGTCATAAAAAGAAAAAAATCACAGACAGAGATTCTCCAAAAGAAGCTGATTTGGGGGTAGAGTCTTGCGATGGGAATACGTATGCCTTAGTAAACTGTGTGCGTGTCCCGGGAGGCAAAGGAAGACAAAGGCGCTTAAAGGAGAAATGAGGAGGATTGCATGAACCGTGCCGAAATAATTATCCTCGGCTACAAAGGTCAGCAGCAAGGGTGGCTCAAGTCTGGGGGTGGACGGGCAGCTGCCGGGCAGATGTCCCTGCACAAGTATTTCTCGTGTGACGTTGCAAGGGCCCTGCGGGAGGCTGCGGTTCTGCGGTGTCCTTTGTCACCAGGCACGCCTGCAGAGCGCCCGTCTTCCCCGCCGGCCCGGCTCTGCCGGTCGGGGTTTCCTCAGCGACGCGGCTCCGTCGGACGCGCACACCGCGGGCCCGCCGCGGGGGGCGGTGGTGAGCACCGAGCGGGCGAACGCGCCGCGGCGCCCTCGCCCACTGCCCGCGCCGCCTGCGGCCGTCCCCGCGGCGCAGACCACACGCATAAACGTGAGCGCCCACACATTGTGTGTCCACATACGCACTTTTTAACATAAAAGGGAGCCTGCTGTGTACACACGCCGCTGACCACCTCACTGCCTTCGTTCCACACGTCCTTCCGGTGCAGGACGTGACAGGGAAGGGCCCTTATTTTCCCTGTCAACAGGTGCCACCTGTGCTGCGATGTGCACCTCGTCATGGATTTACCCAGCACGTCACGCGGTTCAAAATGCTCACAGTCTCCCCGTCGGGGAATCGAACCCCGGTCTCCCGCGTGACAGGCGGGGATACTCACCACTATACTAACGAAGACGTGCCGCGAGCGAGGGCCTCCCAGGTCAGCTCCTATAGACACGGCATCCTCCGCTGCGGCTCCCGCCGACCCCGAGTCCGGACGCCGCCGACCAGGGGCTTCCCCGGGGCGCGGAGTGTGCCCCGCAGCCGGTGGGGGTGCCGGGCACTCGGCGCGGGACCCGCGCAGGGCAGCCGGCGCCACTTCCCGTATCTGTGCTCGCGAGAACCCCCGCTCCGGCGAGGGGATGTAGCTCAGTGGTAGAGCGCATGCTTTGCATGTATGAGGCCCCGGGTTCAATCCCCGGCATCTCCACTCCTTTTCTGCTTTTCCCTGTAAATCGCAGTCACAAGATTATGATGGAAAGAAACACCGGGAAAGGGACGGAGTTGTGGCGCGGGCCTGGAGTCTCAGCTACCGGGAGACTGAGGAAGGAAGGAGGATCGCTGAAGCCCAGGGGTTGGATCGCAGTGAGCTGTGATTGCACCACTGCACTCCAGCCTGGGAAACAGAGGAGACCCTGTCTCCGTAAAAAGCAAAAAACCCGAAAAGCTAACATTCCTAGTTGCTCATGTCCTCAAGCAGGTTTCCACACTGTATTCCTAAGCAGGGTTCTGCACTTGGCCCTTCATTCAGTGACTCCCGAGTGGCAGGTAATGCGCCCGCATGGAGCACCTGCTGTGTGCCCAGGTAGGGTGTACGTACCCCCGTATGCGGGAGAAGACAGGCAAGGCAAGGTTTCCTCGCCTTCCTGGGCTTCGTATTCCAGACCAGGAGACTAACAGCAGCGATACGCTTTATGAAGACGGTAACAGTGATGAGATGGAAAGTTGAGGGGTGTATGAGCAGGGCTGCTTTAGATAAGCTGTCCGGGGACACCTGCCTGCAGAAAGGGCGGCACATAGAGTGGAGGAACCGGCAAGTGCAAAGGCCCTGAGGCTGGAAAAGGGGCCCGCTGTGCAGAGCTCAGCGAGTGAGGATGATGCAGGGGAATGCGGTAATCAGATTTAGGTTTTAAATGGCTCCCTCTGGCCGCCATGTGGAGGATACACCCTGGGCAGATGGGTGGACGTTAGGAGGCCAGGGAGGAGGTACAGTCATGTCCAGGCGGGCTGCCGAGGGCTTGCTCCAGGAGGGGGGCAGTGCAGGCGCAAGCCTGAGCAGGCTGTGGACATGTCCTGGAGGTGTTTGCATGATGTTCCCTAACACGGGGCACCACGCTGTAGTCCGCCACTCCTCCTAGTCATTCAGGTAATTTCTGTCTCACTGAAGTGCTGTCAACACCTAGTACATGTTATCCTTGCCTCCTGAGCCTGTATCTCTATGGAATAGACTCCCATACAGAGCACTGCAGGGTCAAAGGGCATGGACACTGTACACTTTTTTTTTTTGAGACAGAGTCTTGCTCTGTTGCCCGGACTACAGTGCCGTGGCGTCATCCTAGCTCACAGCAACCTCACACTCCTGGGCTCAAGCGATCCTCCTGCCTCAGCCTCCCGAGTAGCTGGGACTACAGGCATGCGCCACCACACCTGGCTAATTTTAAAATTTTCTGTAGAGACGGGGTCTCCACATGTTGCTCAGGCTGGTCTCAAACTCATGGCCTCAAGCAATCCTCCCACCTCAGCCTCCCAGAGCGCTGGGATGACTGGCGGGAGCCACGGTGCCCGGCCAGCATTGATTTTCAATGTTATGTTGCTATTTGTTTTTCATTCACCGATGGCTATACAGAGAAATGAGGTCTTAAAACAATTTGTTTTTACTTCTACATATACACCCGAGAGAACGGAAACACATCCACATGGAAGGTTGTACATAAACATTCACAGCAGCTCTACTCACAATAGCCAAAGTTCAGCGACAACTAAAAATGTGGTTTTATCCATACAGTGAAGTATTCTTCAGCCATAAAAAGGAATGAGGTACTAATACCGAATGCACGAAACTGGGAAATGTTACGCTAAACGAAAGAAGCCAGTCCCAAAAGGCCGTGTGGTTAACATTTCATGATTCTTGGTAAGGAATGTCCAGATGGGCAGACCCAGCGGCAGGGAGAGGATCAGTGGGGCCCAGTGGGGAGCAAAGGGGACACCAACAGGGACGGGGTACGAAAATGCTCCGGAATTGCATGATGATGATGGTTGCCCAACTGTGAATATACTAAAAGCCATTGTTCACCTTAAAACGGTGAATTTTATGGCATGTTAATTATATAAACATTTTTTTTTTAAAAAACTGCCTAGTTATATTTGTGGATCCTCCACTGTGGCTTCAGATTGGGATGGACGGAGGAAGGGACGTCACTGAGGAGGCTGCCCTGGCGCCTGAGAGGCAGGGGTGGAGAGCACGGCTTCCTCTTCCATCTCAGAACGGCCAGCGCACGTGCAGGGCTCGGATTCTAGGTCAGGACCTTTGAGTGGGGAACGTCCCAGTTCTACAGACAGCGAGGTATCAAGGCTTTCCTCAATCGCCGCAGGTCAAGCAAGACAAGTCTGCAGGCTGCCTGGCCCGGGCCACCTCTGCAGCTGTGGGAGGGGCTGAGCGCCTGGGAGGGCGCGGAGGGAGGGGGCAGGGCCGTGGGCACTTCCCCTATGGGACAGGTGGGAAGAGGGACCCTGCGCAGGTGAGGCCTCCTTCAGGAGCCGAGAGCAGCGTTGAGAAGCACAGTCAGGCCGCCAGGCCCAGCCCTGCTTCACGGACACTGTCCACCCGGGGTATCTTTCCCCAAGTCCATCCCATGAAACAACGTGGGGGACTGCGGGTGCAGGGAACATTTTTATTTCATAGCTCTGTCCCCACCGAAGCTGAGATGCGGAATCCGGCCCGACTGGAGCTCGGCCTGGGCAGACGTCCGGGCCCCTCCCTGTGGGGGACAGAGGGGCAGGGGCCTCCTGACTCTTCGTCCTGCCTGGGGCCCCCATGTCCCTCTTTCTCACCCAGGCGCCTACCCCTGCCCTTGTCCCCTCCACCTTGCCATGGAGGAGAGGGGTCTGGCGTCCCCATTCAAGGCCGACAGAACAGTCGTGCGGCCTCACTCAGGGACCAGGGATGACGGACAGGGTCAGCTCCCCTCGCTGATGTCCGAGAGACCACCCGGGAATGACGCCCACTCCTGCGGCCACAACACGGGAAAGGTGCTGACGGCCAACCTTCCAGGAAGGCGTGGAGCCTGGCGGGGGCAGTGGGGTGCAGGCAGCCCCTCAAGGTCGGAGCAGAACTCAGAGGCTCGCTGATGTCTAGGATGGCTCTGAGGCCAGGGCCAGGTGCTGGGCGCCCCTGGAGGCCTCCCTGCTGAGGCAAGGAAGACACGCTGGGGGACGCTCCTGCCTTCTGGAAGGGGAGTGGGGAGGGGCCTGCAGACGCCCGGCTCTGCTGCTTTGCAGGGACTAACGTAGTCCAAAGGGCATGTGTGAGACACGGACCAGCATGTGAGAAAAAGTGTCACCCACCATGTGATGAATAGTTACACAAAAGCCACCCTGGGCTGCACGGCGCAGGGCAAGCTCTGCGCAGAGTTAGGCTGGGATGAACCAGGGCCCACGCCAGGGCGTGCCCAAACCAGTCCTCGGCCTGCAGCCAGGTGTGGGTCAGGGGTCGGAGGTGGGGGGCCAGGCTCTCTCGACGTCGGGGTGCATGGCCTGCGGAAGCCACTCGCAGTACTCAGTCAGCAGGTCTGCAGGGCAGGGGGAGACCAGCGTCAGGCCCAGGGACTCACGTGGGGTGGGAGGAGGCGGCTGGCTCGCCGCTGCGCACAAAGCACGAGGCCCTGCCTCTGTGGGCCCACTCCACATACTCCCGCCCCGGCCCTGGCCAAGCTCACATCTGGGGTTTCTTGTCCAGGCGGCCAGCAGGGCGTCGCGGCAGTCTGCGTGCTCAGCGGCCAGGGCTCGCAGGAGGCTCTCGGTCCGGGGCTGCAGCCTGCGGGTGGGACGCGAGTTGCTGGCACCTGGCCAGGCAGGGTGAAGGGTCCCCTCACCCCGATAATGCCGGGACGGGAAGATCTAAATCCCATCTCCTCCCACCGCCATCCTCGCCCCTCTGATCCAGCCACCTGGGCCGTCCCCACGTCCCCTGCCCACCGAGGCTGCAGCTCCTCCCGCCCTCGATCTTCCTCCAGGTTTCCGTCTGGCGCCCGCCCCGCCTCCTCCACCTCTGCACTGTCGGCCTCTCCCTGGCCAACCCTGCCACACCCCACCCGCCCCACTCCAGGCCTCGCCCAGTGCCGTCCCTGTGGAGTCGAGTGACTGCCATCTGTACTCGCTGTGCTCTGCTTGGTGTCAACCTCCCTGCACTGCAGTGTCACCACCACGGGGACAGGGATAGGGACGGGGATTGTGTCTGTATCCCGGCACCTAGCGGATGCTTGGCAATGTTTGCTGGGAGAGCGACGTGGCTCATCACAGCCCGGTGGCCGGGGACGCTCTGCCCCACACCTGTCTCCAGTCCCCGGGAGGCAGAGCGCACGGGTGCGTGTGCCGGTGGCTGCCGCACCGTCAGGCCTGTGCCCTAAGTCCCCTCTACTATCTAGGATGACAGCCATCAGCTCTGCCAGTCTCAGGAAATGGGGGGGCGTGTGCTTGGAGCCTGGGCCACAGGCGGGAGGGGAGCAGAAGAGCAGCAGACGGGAGGGCGGGGCCCAGGGAGCTGAGGCGCCAGCGGTGGCCGCCCGGGACGGGGGTCTGTGGTCGCCGGCAGGAGGTCTCCAGGGCTCAGGGAGCAGGATGCCTCCTGCTGACCCACACAGCTCTACAGAGCGGAGGCCAGTGCCTGTCCCCAGCTCAGGTCCCCCCAGAACTCCAGGGTGTGACATTCGCGGAAAGAGGGTGACTGCAGGTCTAAGTAGTTCAGATGAGGATATATGGGAGCAGGTGGGCCCTAAATCCAGCAGCTGGTGTCCTCTTAAGGAGAGGGGACAGAGGAGAAGGCCAAGTGAAGACAGACGCGGAGATGGGAAGGAAGCCAGCAACGCCAGGGGTGGAGGAGGCCAGAGGCTCCTCCCCTGCAGCCTCTGGACAGCGCGTGGCCCTGCGCATACCCCGATGTGGACCCTGGCCTCCAGCTTGGAGCGAGAGCACGTTTCTCATGTCTGCAGCCCCAGCATGTGGTCCTGTGTCACACAGGCCCCCGGCCCCCGCCTGCCCGCTGTGCCGCCCCCTCCCCCCCAGGCCTTACCTGGCCCAGGTCTTCAGCATGGTGCTGGGGCTGGACAGTAGGCAGCCCTGGTACGCGGCCAGCCCGCGGCAGACCTGCCGAGAGAGCATGGCCGGGGTGAGACACCTGGACTTGCCCCCCAGGGCACCAGGACAACGGGTGGGAGCTCCATACAGTTTACCTGCCCTTCCAGCAGAAACCGGGCAAAGTGCTTGTAGCGGTCGATTCCCTGCGGAAAATCCACCTGGACGGCGGGGAGGGGCCAGCCGACGCGATCTGGGGACAGGAGCCGGTGAGCCCGAGACCCCCCTGTGGCCGTCCTCCCGAGTCCCCTCCCTGCCCACCCAGCAGAGGGGCAGGAGGACTGGGGTGGCCCCGTCCGAGACGCACATGTGCGAGGAGCCCACGGCCGCAGGAGGGCCGGGCCACCCAGGCCGCCGCCCTGACTCACAGAACGTGCTGGCCCGGTGACACAGCACCCGGCCCGTCTCGGCGCAGTAGGCAGGGGCCGGCTCCTCCAGGGGCTTGTCGAACTGGCAGTAGGAGGGCAGCAGGGTGGGGATCCACTGCATCTCCACGGCGCAGACACCTGCGGGCAGGGACACAGCGCTGCTGCCCTGGGGTCCCGAGTGCTCGCGCCCAGGGTGCCCCCGCCGGCCTTTCCTGTACCTTTCATGTACATCTTGGTGGTCTCCACGATTTCCTGGTAGACCACAAACTCCGGGAGCTCTTTGAAAAGGACGGAACTGGGGTGGATGAAGACGGGGTCGTCGAGGAGAGGGGTCTAGGGAGACGGGGGGTGTGACGCGGTCAGGGAGGAACATGGGCTTGAGCCTGCCATCCTTTTAACCCAGGAGAACCCACTTATCCAGCCCAGCCTGAGAGCAGGAGGAGGGGTCCATCAGTGGAGGGACATGGTCCATCCACACACTGAACCACGATCCCGCCATAGAGGGAACGGCCCTGACACACGCGGCAGCGCGGCTGAACCTCCAGAGCATAGCCAGGCACACAGGCCCCGTGTTGCGTGACCCCGTCCATAGAAAACACGCAGAACAGGCAAACCCGCAAGGACAGCAGACTCATGGGGGCGGTAGGGCCGCAGGGACCCATGACCGAGGGGACAGTCTCACCCCTCCATGACTCGAGGGTCCTGCCCACCTGCCAGGTGCCCCGACTGTGCCCCAGCCAGGTGTCCACGCGCCCCACCTTGTATGCGTTCCTCCACTTGGCGTCCAGCAGCTCCTCGCTCTGGACCCTGCGGGCCAGGTGGTCGCCCAGGCCGGCCGTCACGATCTGCCGCAGGTAGGTCACCTGGCTCTCGGTGGGCGGCTGCATCTTGGGATCCATGAAGAGCCCGGCCTCAGGGCACACGGCGTTGACTGGGGGGAGGGCCGAGGGTGAGGGTGGCAGTGGTGCCAGTGAGGCTGCGGGCCGGTTCTACCCAGACCTTCCAGAAGGCCCCAACCATGCAGCTGGGCGCTCCAGCCTCAGCCACCTGCTTGCCCCGGCCTCTGCCTGCAGGGCCACCAGCAGGAGGCAAAGCCCTCGGCCGGCAGGGCTGCAGCTGCCCCCACATCATCCCTTCCTTCTCCCCCGGGACAAAGCCCCGATTCCCGTGTGAGTGTCCCGGCAGAGTGTTTGGCTAGGAGATGGCCGGCCCCCAGCACGCAGGGGCGCCACAGCTCGGCTCTGGTCCGCAACCTGAAGAGAGAAGCTGTGGCTGGAATTCCTGGGACCACGTAGCACCGGGAGCAGGATGGCTGCAGGCGCCCTCTGGCCCCGTCCTTCCCTTCTGCCTGGAGGCAGAGGTGACTAGACCTCCCCCTGCCTTCTCAGCCCACGAGGTGACTTTAGGGAACAATAAACGCCTAATGCATCATCTGGTGGCTGAACGCAATTGAGAGCTGAGGCACCAGTGGATGAGGCCACTCAGGAAAGCCACAGCCAGAGGGACACAGAGCACGACGACAGGGCCACAGGGATGCACCTGGCGCTGGAGAACATACCGACTATGAAAAAGCATCAGTTCTGGCAGCAAACCCTACAAACTGCTCGAACGGAATGCAAAGCCCCCATCAGCCTCAGGGGAAGGAGCGCGGCCGGCCCAGGAGAGACCCCATGGACGCATCATCCTAAGTGTGGGTCGGAAGGTGAGAACGTTTCTCTGCTCCTGGGTGTCCCTGGGTGCTGCTGAGCCCAGGTGGAGTCGGGGCAAGACCTCGTCCTGCTGCACAGAAGGGTCTGAGGGTCTGGGGGATGTCTGGGAGGGAAGAGAGGTCCAGGCCAGAGTGGGGACAGAGGACGCGCCAAGGACAGGATGTGACCAAGGGACAACATGATGGGCAACCTCGCATGTCAGCAGCTGAAATGTGTCGCTGCCCTGCTCACGTGCACACCCACTCGTGACTGCAAAAGCACCCAAGTACTGATTCTGGGTTATAAACGAACTTTAGCGAGTAGGCGAGTTTGCAAACACGGACTCTACGAGTCATTTTACTCAAAACAAATTTAAGTGTTAAAAGGCGCCAGGTCAAGTTGTCTGCCGGAGCCCGCTGGCGGGGCCGTACCTGCAGTGGTCAGCTGGCCCCGCAGGCGCCGCGTCTCCATGACGGCCTTGTACCGCAGCCCGTTGGCCTCGCAGAACTGGGGCGTGCAGCCCGCGTACTCGCAGGCTCCCACGGCGCCTGTGGGGCGAGCAGGGCACGTTCACTCGCCAGCCCCATCCAGGCCTGGTGACCCTCCCTGCACCCTGCGCCGGGCGGGGCACTCACCCAGCAGCACCATGAGGTCGCCGAGCTTCAGAGAAGCCCCCTGCCCTGCCCAGGTCCTCTTCATCTGGGCCACCTGGGCCCGCCTGCCCTTGAGCTTGGCGAGCTCCTCCTCGCTGGCAGCCGGTCTGCGAACACACACGTGGCCCGAGCTGTTCCCCTGGCCACCCTCGGGGCCTCGGGGCGGGAACGCATCTATTAATCAGCCCAGGTTTGGGGGCCTGTGGGGGCGGTTGCTGGTGAATGTAACCAAGGTACTAAACTCCATCTCAAAATTCAGTGCCAGCGGCCAGCAAGACTAAAAGCGCGTCTGCCCACTGACCCAGCTATTTCACATCTAGAGATCAATAGAAACAAATAATGCAACAGATGATACTGTACACTGCTGCACTGTTCATAAGTAACGAGGAGTGATGTCAACGTGGAAGAATTAAGAAGCCCTCGAGAGACCGAAGGCGCCTTCAGAAATTTCTGCAGAAACGACCCTTTCTACCCTCAAGCTGCAGAAGGCAGACGTGCAGTGAAGGCTGCCAGGTCATCAGACGGCTGCTCATCTACGAAGGAGCACACAGTCATAACTACACTCCAGATTTTCTTAACATGCAATAAGCTAAACACACTTTCGTACTCCTAGTGCCACTTTCCCAGGGCCCTGCTGTTCCCTACTCTGGTCTGTTTTAAGGCAGTTGACTGAAGGTGGCCCTTTTCTGGAATCAATGACCCTCCAATGACCAGGGACCCTCCTACCTCCAAGTCTCATGGCCTCATCTGATCTCTAGGGGCGGCAGGTGGAGACCACCACGGCCATCGGAGAGACCGGAACACCGAAGGGCTCAGCAAGAATGAGGGTCTCGCGTGGCCCTGAGTGCCCGCCCCCGACCTCGCACCTGTCCAGCTCCTCGAACAGCTCGCGGACTGTCATGGCGGCCACGATGGCGATGGCGTAGGGCAGGCAGCCGTGCTGCCGGCTCAGGGCCAGCATCTTGGCGTAGCGGGGCGCCACGGGGAAGGCGGCCATGGTCCTGCCCAGCGTGGTGATGGGGCGGCTCAGCCGGGAGCTCTGCAGCTGCTTCACCCTGGAGGTGCGGGGCTGCGGTGGTGGGGCTCCGAGAGGACGTTCTGAAGCCAGACCCAGGAGGCAGCTCGGGCCGAGAGCGGGAGGGAACTGGACCCTCCTCTGCCCTCCCCACCCCGGCCCTGCCCTACCTTTCTGTTTTCTGGGGCGCCTCCAGGGCACCCAGCGCGATCAATAGCTCCTCGGCGGCGATGAGGGATTCCACGGAGGGGGGTGTCGGGAAGGGGAAGTTGATGACCTGGGACACAGGGACACGTGGCAGGGAGTGAGCCAATGCCCCGAAGCAAGTGAGGAGCCCAGTTCCGGACGTGGGGTCCTCCCCCCTCCCTTCTCCAGGCTTGGCCGCCCATCCTCTGGGCACCGCTCACGCCAGCTAGGACACGGAAGCCCAGGGCGCCCTCAAAATCCAGGCACCAGGTGAAACCCAGAGCCTCCTTCACTGATTCACACGTGCACGCGCTCGAAAGCACGTCCTGGGTGCCCACTGGGCAGGCGCCAGGGGCTGTTCTCGGCGCTGGGAGATGGAGAAGCCCAAGGGACAGACTCTGCCTTCCCTGAGCCCCAACTCGGCCAGGGGGACCACAGCTGCCAGCGAGGAGTCACGTAAACAGTGTCGCAGGAGCAAACGAGCCCAGACAGTGAGATGGTGGGAGGACAGAGAGTGATCGAGCTAAGGATGGTGGCACCTTAGAGAGAGGGACCAACGGAAACCTGTGTTCAGATACAGGCTGGTGCAGCCGTATTCACAGCAGCACGGCTCACGAGGGCCAAGACGCAGGATTGCTTTCTGGGGTGAGGCGAACGGTCACCGACCGTGACGATGACTGCACACCTCTGAATGCACCAGAACCCAGACTGCACGCTGGATCGGGGAGCTGTCTGCTGTGTGAATCGTCTTAGTCAAGCTGTTTGGGGGCAGGTGAGGCTGCAGCAGCGGGCGCAGCGGGGAGGGGACGCCAGGAGGCAGGGACTGGCAGGAAGGCAGCCCGGGCCAAACCAGGCAGAGCCTCAGGGGCCGAAGAGGACTCCGGATTTTACTCAGGAGCTAGGGGAAGCCACCAAAGAATTCCTACAGAGAGGCGACTTAGGCATTTTTTTTTTTTTTTTTTTTTTTTTGAGACAGAGTCTCGCTCTGTTGCCCAGGCTAGAGTGCCGTGGCGTCAGCCTAGCTCACAGCAACCTCACACTCCTGGGCTCAAGCGATCCTCCTGCCTCAGCCTCCCGAGTAGCTGGGACTACAGGCATGCGCCACCACGCCCGGCTAATTTTTTCTATATAGTTTTAGTTGTCCAGCTAATTTCTTTGTATTTTTAGTAGAGACGGGGGTCTCGCTCTTGCTCAGGCTGGTCTCGAACTCCTGACCTCCAGCGATCCTCCTGCCTTGGCCTCCCAGAGTGCTAGGATTACAGGCGTGAGCCACCACACCCAGCCTGGAAAGGCATTTCTTGAGCCACACTGAGCTCCAATCCCTGAAGTGACACCTTCTAGCCACGTGACCCATGGCCAGGCATGTCTCACTGCCTCAGTTTCCTCATCTGTAAAATGGGGGTGATAAAGGCAGTAATTCCTTCCTAGGGTCATGGTTAAGGATAAACTGAGGTCACGAATGCAGAGCACCCAGCACAGGCCGGCACCCAATGTGTTGGAGAGGACATTCATTATTTTTATTAGGTGAAAAACTTTAAGCCCGAGACAATATATAAAATACCACTACATTAATAAAAAAAAAAAATAGTGATAACAATACAGGATATTATGTGTTTGGAAAACATAGCTGGGAACAGGGGACACAAATGGTGGCCAGCGGGATGTATGTCCCTTTCTCTATGACTATTTGAAGTATCTTATTTATTTGAGATGAGGTCCTGCTCTGCCGCCCAGGCTAGAGTGCAGCGGTGCGATCGCAGGTCACTGCAGCCTCCAACTCCTGGGCTCAAGTGATCTTCCAGCCTCGGCTTCCTGAGTAACTAGGACTATAGTCGCGCACCACCACATCTGGCTAAGTTTGAAAAATTTCTTATAGAGATGGGGTCTTGCTATATTACCCAGGCTAGTCTCAAACTTCGGGCCTCAAGTGATCCTCCTGCCTCAGCCTCCCAAAGTGCTGGGATTATAGGTGTGAGCCACCATGCACAGCCTACATGAATTCTTACAATTTTGAACATATTATATTTATATCCAGAAAAATCAATGAAGATGTATGTTTAAAAAGCACCGGAAGACCATCTGGGTTGTCACTTATTAGGTGTGTGTCCCTGGACCAGGACCTTTGCTTCCCTGCCTCAGTTTCCTCCTCTGTTAACAGGGATTTGGACACCCACAGGACAGGCTGGGGCAGGTCGCAGCATGCACCACGGTGCAGGGCACTCTCTGCCTGGCCCACTCCGTGCCGGAGCGGGGCGAGGGGGCACCCTAGACAGGCCTGCTCCCCCTGCACTGGAGGACAGGGTCAGGGAAGGCCTCAGCCAGGCAGTCAGAACATTCTGTGAACCCCAAGGACTGACAGACTACGAGCAGTGCGTGGCACCAGGCCGCCGTCTCCTGGGTGCCCAATGGTGACAAAGAATTGGGGAGGTGGTGGTCACAGGAGACCAGAGGGCCCCGTGGCACCTGCTGATGCAACATCTTGCAAGCGGCTGCTGCAGGCCGGGCGGGCACCTGCAGTCTCAGCTCCTGGGCGCCCCGGGCCTTGCAGAAAAGGAGGCGGCCCCCTGGGGACTCAGTGGGTGACGGCAGGGCTGGGGGCAGCGACTGACCTTCTCGATGTTGAGAGCTTTCATCTGAAGGATTAAGTCTTCGACAGGCCTCCGGGTGATTTCTGGAGGAGGGAACTGCTCGAAGTCACCGAACACCGCGGATGAGTACAGCCTGTGCGGAGGACGGACAGTAAAAACCAAACTCCGCCAAAGTACCCGGGGTTGAGTCTTGGTCCCGACAGTCACTGGGCAAGGTCCTTAGCCTCCTCCTGCCTCAGTTTCCTCACCTGGGAAATGGGGCTCAAACTGCAGTTGCCAGGTGAGGAATTGGTGAAGATTAATTAGATGTCACTCGTAGAGTTCTAAAACAGTGCTTGGCACATAGCGCGTGGTAAATTTTAACTATAGCTACTTCCATGTGGTTTTCTTTGCATATTTTCTAAATTTCCTATTTTTATAATTAAAAATACTGTTGAAAAGAACAGCAATAAAGCTATCAGAAATAATAGCAATAAAGCTATTAAAAGCAACAGCACACAGACTGGGAGAAAACATTTGCCAACGATAAATCCAATGAGGATCGAATATCCAGATTACGTAAAGAACTCTTATAGAGCAACAAAAGACAAATGAACTAATTAAAAAATGGGCAAAAGATCCGAACAGACAGCTCTCCATGAAGATGTAGAAATGGCCAATAAGATAACATCACTGGCCACAGGGGACTGTAAACCAAAGCATGCGATACCCTTGCACGCTGGCTAGATGGCCACACCCAGAAACACCGAGAACAGCAAGTGTTGCCCGGGCCGCAGAGAAATGAAACCCTTGTTCATCCCTGTAGAGAGTGTTAAATGGTATAGCTGTTGTGGAAAACAGTTTGGCAATTCCTCAAAAACTTAAACCTAGAGTTATTTTACTTATTTTTCATTTTTTACTTTATTTTTTGAGACAGAGTCTCGCTCTGTCATCCACGCTAGAGTGCCATGGAGTCAGCCTAGCTCACAGCAACCTCAAACTCCTGGGCTCAAACAATCCTTCTGCCTCAGCCTCCCGAGTAGCTGGGACTACAGGTGTGTGCCACCACGCCCAGCTATTATTTTTCTATTTTTAGTAGAGACAAGGCCTCGCTCTTGCTGAGGCTGGTCTTGGATTCCTGACCTCAAGCCATCCTCCCACCTTGGCCTCCCAGAGTGCTGGGATTACAGGCGTGAGCCGCCGCGCCTGGCCAAACCTAGAGTTACTATGCGACCCAGCAATTCCCCTCCTAGGTATGTATCTATGAAAAATGCAAATGAATATTCAAGCAAATCCTTGTGCGCAAATGTGCAGGGCAGCACCGGGCACGACAGCAAACAACTGAAACCTGCGCGCCCACCGACCGACGGATGCACGGACAAACAAAACACGGTGGAACAGGGTTCGGCCACAAGGATGGATGAAGGGCCGGACGCACTGCGACATAGTGAACCTGTTATGCTGAGTGACCGAACGCAGACACGACGGGCCGTATGGGGAATGACTTATGCCATTTGTGTGACGTGTTCGGCACAGGCACGGCCTTAGAGACAGGCAGTGGAGTGGGGGCTGCCGGGGGCTGCAGGGAGGGAGCATGGGGAGCGACTGCCAATGGGTGCACACAACCCTACACAACCCCATAGAACTATACACTTTAAAACGGACAACTTTATGGTCTGTGATTTATATTTTAAGCTGTTCTGAAAATAAGAAAACAGCAGCCAAAAAGACAAGGCCTGACTTCAGTAGCAGAACAAAAAAACAGTGCGAGCATCTGACAGCCAGCAAGGGACTCAGGACCAAAGACGGTGGAGGAGACAGCAACCTTTCCTGCCCACCGTCCCGGGGAGGGTCTCGGGTAACCCACCTGTAGCAGTGGCCGGGCTCCGTCCGGCCTGCCCGGCCTGCTCGCTGGTCGGCTGATGCCTGGGACACCCAGGTGACGCGGAAGGAGGACACGCCGGTGACGCGGTCGTAGTAGCGTTTCTTGACTTTCCCGCAGTCCACCACATACTTGATACCGGGGATGGTCAGGGACGTCTCAGCCACGTTGGTGGCCACGACACATAGCCGCGTCCCCTCCGGGGGAGGCTTAAAGACCTAGGATTGGGGGGTGGCAAGAACACCCCAGAATCAGGACAGCAATTGTGGGATGGAGGCACGGGGGGGCGGGCACAGCTGGCCAGGTGGGGGACGTCTGAGAGGTGGCAAGGTCAAGCCATCCCCTGCCTGGGCCACGGTGCTCCTGGGCAGACACACTAGGAAGTTTTCTGTTCTTTACGAAGACCCCAAAAACCCAGGGGTGGTGGACAAACAGTGGATGGAGAGGATCACCCAGGGCTTGGTCGGGCCCCACTGCCATGTCCCTAGGAGGTGCCCTGAGAGCCAACATGGGCGCCCCGAGCCAGGCGCCAGCCCTGAGCCCAGCACGGTTACCTGTGCTTGCTTCTCGGGGGCCAGCAGGGAGTAGAGCGGGAGCACGTGGAGGGGGAGGGAGGCGTCCGGCTGCTCACCTGGAAGGAAAGCAGGAGCCACTGGCACCCCCGGTGGGGGCCATGCCCATGGGCAGGAGCCTCTGCTGCCCAGATCCCTGCTCTGCCACAGACGTCCCTAGACCAGCCCATCGCCAAGGGGTCCACTCTCAGGCGGCCAGTGGGTGGGCCGCGCCTGAGGCTGGTTGAGAAGCTCCTGAAGGCTCTCCCGTCTCTACTGCCCCGATCCAGATCCGAACCCCTGCCACGCCATAGTCTCCTCCCCCGAAGAGTCTGACCCTGAGTCCATGGGGCCCGGCCCCGCCCCCTTGTCCTGGCAGCACTGCAGTTGGCGGAGGCTGAGCCTGCACGGGGCACCCTCGGCTGCCCCACATGGCCCCGCGCTGCACACAGCAGGACGCGGGGTCTGCCCGTGCACTCGGGCCAAGCAAGCACTCCCTGGAGCTGGGCAACAACCCCAGGCCCCCGAGGCCTGCATCCCCCTGGCAAAGGTGAGCCTGGGCGTGGCCCCCAACACACGAGACACAGCAAGTGTCTGTGGCCTGCTCTGCGCCAGGCCGCCCGGGAGCGCAGGAAGCACCGAGGTGCAAAGCTACAGAAAGCCCAGCTCTAGGGGGGCTCACGCCCTATCGAGGGGCAGAGGGGCCCTTGGCACATCCTCCAGGGCAGAACATTTGTTTCTTCCACGCCGTCTCCCCAGGGCCTGGTGCGTGGTGGGGTGAGGGCGGGACACTCTGCCAGGGCCACACCTCCATCCTCCCCGTCGTCCCCCAGGTCCAGATCGAGGTCGGAGCCCACCGCGCCCTCTTCATCGTCCATCTCTGCCTCCCTGTCCTCATCGCCTTCGCCCGCCGGCAGCACCGAGTAATGGTCCAGGTTGATCTGGGGCAACGCCTACAAGACACCAACACCATGGCTGCAGGTGACCCCGGGAGTGAGGACGCGTCACGTGCAGGAAAACAAACCCAACTGCGCAGAAGCCCTGCTCTACCGCCCACAGGCCACGCGCCCTTGGGCAGCCTCAGTCTCCTCACCTACAAACTGGGGACTGTCACAGGACTCAGCTCACAGGCTATTGGGAAGATTCTCAGCCAACACAGGGAAAGAACCCGTGACACTGCCCAGCACCACTGTTAGGGTGACAGGAGGCTCAGAGAGCAATTCCCCGTCTGCGCCTCCTCACACAGACGCCCTGGGCAAGCGCCCCCCAGCCCAGCCTGTGCCCACCCCCGGGAACAGACCCTCCCACTTCTTCGGCAAGCACCACGGGGTCTGCTGGCCCTCCCAGGGGTCCTCGCAGCCCCTGAGTAGGTACTCAGGGCCCAGTCTTCTGGAAGCTTCCTCTGAATATGTTTCAAATCATCACCCACCCTGCAGCTTCCAGAGCTGCGCCGTCCTAAGAACTCCCTTCCATGGGGGCATGTCTGGGACTCGCGCTATCCAGTATGGCCACCAGCAGCCCCACTGGGTCTGGAGCGACTGAGGAACTGTATCTTTATTGTCTTTTTGGAGACAGAGTCTTGGTCTGTCACTTGGGCTGGAGTGTAGTGGCATCATCACAGCTCACAGCAACCTCAAACTCCCAAGCTCAAGTGATCCTCCTGCCTCAGCCTCCCAGAGTGCTAGGGTGACAGGCATGAGCCACCGTGTCTGGCCTGCATTTTGAGTATAATTTCATTCCAATTACAATCAAACCTAAGCAGCCACATGGGCTAGCGGCCACAGTCCTGGACGGTGCAACTGGACAGCCCAAGCCGCCCCCATGAGCCCTCCGCGTACCTCAGCCCTGGCCTTCTTGGCCCTCGCCCGCGACTTCTTGAACTTCCGCATCTCTTCTGCTGAGTCTTCCTGATCTTCCTTTTCTGCGAGAAGTGAAGAGATTGGGGAGAAACACACCTGTGGCTGGTGCCAGCTGCCAGCACCTTGCTCTTTGCGGCACTGACACCAGGGCTGGGAGGTGCGGGCAGGCAAAGGTGCCAACTCTGCCAACGGGAGACTTGGGAGCGGAACCTGTCTCCCCAGCCAGGGGCGCGGGACCAAGCCTGGCTGCCCAGGGGTGTCCGTGAGCTGGTTACCTTGTGGCCGGGCCCTGGGGGGTGGGAAGGCCTTCCTGAGCCTGCGGCACAGCGCGTGCACCTCTGCCTGCCCCGTCAGGAAGACCAGGATGCCGCCTGCGGAAAGACCCGGGCCCTTCGGTTATCTGCCAGTCACTTAGCAAACATTTCCTTAGCAACGAGCACCCGCCAAGCCCTGCTCTGAGGCCGGGATCGCGCAGACACGGACAAGGGAGAGGCGATTAGTCCTAGACTGATGGTGCTGTGAGGAGGGGACACACGGTGACCCCATGACCTGGCATGACCACCCCCAAAAGCACTGAGAACAGCGGCCCAAACAGACACCTGCACGCACACAACAGCACCGCCCTGGCCCGAGACACGAGGCCATGGGCGGCTTGCTGCCCAAGCTCCCTCCTTGCCCCCCGCCAGCCCAGAGTCTCCCAGAGTGGCCGCGAGGCCTGGGACACCCAGATGCCGGAAGCAGAGCGAGGCCAGAGCATCGTGGAGCCGCGAATCTCAGCCTCCCCATGGGGCGAAGCCAGGCTGGGCGGGGGCCTCTCTAACGCCCTCTACCTTTCTAGCCCGGAGAAGTTTGAGTCAATTTAAATGACAGCAGGTGAGTAATTGAGCAAGTGCGATGGGGACATGGTGACCTCAGGCGGATGCACCTGTTCACCCGCACCGTGCCTGGGCCCCGTGACACAGGGGAGCTCCACCCTCCAGTTAATCACGGAGCCTCACAGAGCTGTGGGCAGGACGGGCACGGCAGGTGCTGTGAGCACTCTGTAACTGGTGAGGAAACTGAGGCACAGCGAAGACAAGGGGCTATGCTGAGCCACTGGGAGACATGCCAAGAGCCCGGGCGACCCCCTGCCCACACAGCCGTCATCGCGTGGGTTTAGAGCGGGAGAGGCCCCCTGCCCTTCCCCCGGCCGGGGCCTCACCGGCAGGCAACATGCGGTGGATCTTGCAGACCTTCCGGAAGCACTCGCCACTGTAGTCCTCCAGCGGCGTCCTCTTGTTAAAATGCACTGTCACCGGGAACTGCCTGGAGTCAACCTACGAGATGCGCAGGAGGCACTGGTGGGGTGGGCCGAGCTTTGGTCCCTCCCTTTCCAGATCTTTCCAAGTCAAGGTTTTAATGCCTCTCGACATGCTGTCAATCCTCACGGGACAAAGCAAGCTCTCCCAAGAGCCCCCTTGACACCTGGGCGTCCCTGTGCTGTCGAGGGTCACAGAGGGGCCCCGGGACGAGGGCCCGGGCGTTACCTTGATGACCGGTGGCGGCTCAGCGAAGAGCCGCCGGTTCTGGGTGAAGTCCTCCACCCGCAGCGTGGCCGACATGATGAGCAGCTTCAGCGGCAGGTGCTTCTGTGGAGACAGCCACGGTGACCATGGCCACAGGGCACAGGCGCGTCTGAGCCCGGGACGGCGGTGGGAGGGGCGGGGTTCGGCTTCCCTCCAGGCGCCACCCTCGGCCCCCTTTCTGGCTGCCAAGACCCCTTGGAAAGTGAGCCCACGGCAGGATCTGCCCTCCCAGGGCAGCGGCTTGTTCAAGGGGCCTTTCGAGCCCCCAAAGTCGGGCTCTGATGGTGGAACGTGAGGCTGGAGGGTGGAGGCAGGGCCCCCGACCCAAAGGCCGCCAACCCCGTTGAGACTGTCTGTTCCTGGGGTCCAGGGAGGAGCTGCCTGATTCCCTGGGGCGCGGGTGGGGTTTCCTGGTCCCAGCTCACTCGGTGCCGAGGGGCCTCTTGCTGGGCTCTGCCCCCCAATCCCTCGCTGCCTCCTGCTGCTAGTGAGCCCCACACCCCAAAGCTGAAGACTGGCCGGAGCACGTCTGGTGTGCGAATGGGAAGGTCACAGGCACAGCTCTGGCCCAGGGGACCCTGTCCTCAGGGACCCCTCTCTCAGCAGCAGCCCGGGGCACCTATGGGCCTGGGCCAAGGGCACCCAAGCTCCTGACGGGGCCTCGGGGGCTCCCTGGCATCTCCTGCCCCCGTGCTACCTTTGCCCGGAGGGCCACGATGCGGGACAGCAGGCCGATGAGGATGTCCGTGTACACGCTCCTCTCGTGGGCCTCGTCGATGATCACCACCTTGTACCGCAGCAGCAGGAAGTCCTGGGGGTGGCGAGAAACACCGCCCAGGCGTGAGCCCCAAACTCCCACTCGAGGGGCCTTTCAGCACTCGGCCGTGGGGGAGTCCTGGCTCTGTGACCTGGGGCAAGGTACGCACCACCCCGTGCCTCAGTTTCCTCATCTATACAGCGGGACCACAACAGGACCTACCTCAGGGGGTCCCAGTAAGGCTCTGGTGACAGTTAATACCTGCAAAGTGCACAGCACGGGGCCTGGGAGAGAAAGCGCCAGAGAAAGGGCAGATGCTCTTTATCAGAGCTGAGCCATTAGGCGCGCGTGCCCGCGGGTGGGAGGCAGGCAGGGGCACGAGACGTGGGTGGGGGCCGTGGACATGTGCCACATAGAAAGGGGCTGCCCAGACAGAACCACATCTGCAGCCACCCCCAGGTGCCCCAGTGGCCTCAGAGCTGAGAAGGCTGGAGTCACCTCTGCCCTCGCTGGAGCCTGGCCCTGCCCGGGGCATGTCACACAGCCAGTCTGGTGCAGAGCTGCCGTCACCAGACAGTGGTTCTCCATGTGGGCCCCGCATGCCCCCTGGACGTGCATGCCGCCCCACTTGACCGAACGGCCAAGTTCCCAGAATGTTCCACCTCCCTGGGAAGCTCGCTGAGGCCTGAGAGGGTTGGCTGGGGAGGCAGCAGCTGAGTGTCCTGATTTACAAACCAAATGCCCTTGGGACACAGCGTCCGAGGCTGGGGACTATAAAACACACCACTGCGCAAGGGCAAGGCCCAGTGGCCCCGTCTGGGTTCCCTGGCATGAGGCCGGGCTTCCCACTCAGGATCTGGCGCTGGCCCTCACAGCACACAAGCGGACCAGGACATTCTTCAGAGGGGATGGTGTCTGGGTGCACCTGTCAGTCTCCAACACACACGGCAGTGCCGGCACGTCACAGGTGCTCATGACACACTTGGGGAATGCACAAACTCGGTGACTCCAATCACAGTAACAAACACAAATTCACATTTAATGAGCACCTACTAGGTATTGGGATTGTGCAAAGCTGCTCACATGCATTGTACGACTTCCGTATGAAGATGATCCTATGAGGAAGGCACCAGTGTGCCTTGATAGAAACTGAGCTCAGAGAGGTTAAGTAACTCGCCCAAAGTCACACAGTGGCACGGCACACTGGCTGCTCACATCCCAGGTGACACCCTAGTGCCCTACACAAGGCTCACTGGCCCTGCTTAGTGAGACAAGACCAGCAACCGACCTTTTGGATTTCTTTGAGCAACACGCCATCCGTCATGAACTTGATTTTGGTGTCTTCGGTCGCATTTCCTTCGTACCGGATCTGGTAGGAGACGACCCTGTGAAGACAGACTTCGGCTCAGGGCGGGCGAGTCTCAGACCTCAGCTGGAGCCCGGTTTAAACACGGCTGCACAAAAACTCGCTGGGACACACCAGGGAAACCCAACCCCGGCTGGAGGACGTCCGAGAGTTACTACACGCTCGCCAGCTGCGGTAGGGGCACTGCCGCTGTGTTTTAGAGAGTCCCTTTCTTTAAAAAAAGCATCCCTTATGTTTCAGACCTGCACAGAGGGACACTGAGGATTAATAAGACACCTGACACTTGCTCCTGAACAACCGGGGCTGGAGGGCGCAGATGCAATGGGCTGGTCAGGAGCCGACAATTATTGCGCCTGGGCCTGGGGCTGGGTACGTGGGCGCTCGTTGTGCTATTCTTTCTACCTATGTACGTGCCAGAATGTTTATGATAAAAAGTTAAAGGAGGACGAGGCAGCTTTTTGTGCCTTGTTATTTTCAAGACACGAAACAGGCAAGGTGCAGCCCAGTGTGCCTAGCATGCAGCCATTTATGTGAAAGTCAGACGAGACATGCAGTTGCGTCTGTGCATGGAATCGTCCAGAAGCATGCATAGAACTGGGCGGTGGTGGCTGCCCCAGGCGGGAGGCGGGGGCTGGGTGGGGAGGGGCTCCCCCACTGGCCTGTCCCTGCTGTGGCGTCCTCCCCAGCACCTCGCCCACCTGACCCACAGCGCGAGCCTCCCCCACGTGCAGGCTGGCCCCGCGGGGGCAGGCGACTCCGTCTGGTCCACCACCGTGTCCTGAGAGCCCAGTGCGGGCCTGGCACACAGAGGCGCTGCCCAGTCAGCATCTGATGCAACTCCCACCCCGTGCTCTTTTGTGCCTTTGCGATCTTAGACCACATTGGACGTGTTACCTCTTCGAGCCGGAATTCAAGAGTCTGGACCGAGGCACAGGCATCTGCGTCATAAACCCGCAGCCCTCCCAAACAAGCCATTCTAAAGCGAACAGCACACTCGCCTGGGCCAATCGCCTTCCAGAGCAAGTCCTGCAGCTTCATTGCCAGGAGAGGACTGTGCATTTTGGCACCTTGAGTTTCACGTAACCCGGCAACGCTCAGCGCTCATTACACAACTGCCTGCAGTCGGCCCCCGCTCTGTCCTCCAGCCCCGCCACGGGCCGTTTTCTCTCCTCCGTACACAGTGTGTGATGCGAGCTGAGCCGAGGGCCTGGCTGGCTTCATCCCTGCCCCACAGCCCCTGCCTGGGCGGGTCCCACGGTGCTCAGACGCAGAGGTGACGCGCTCACCCAGCCCCCGGTCATGGATGCTGCTCACTCCCTCCTGGACAGCTGACACCTGGGCAAGGCCACAGGACCACCCGCGACCCCTCCCCCAGGAAGCAGAGCCCTCACCGCTGCGACAGATTCATCTCCTTGGCCACTCGCTGGGACATGGCTATGGCAGCCACTCGGCGCGGCTCCGTGACGCCGATGATGCTGTTGTCGCTGGGGGAAGAAGAACACAACGTGTCATCAGTGCTTGTCGCCCACCCGCCCATCCCTGCGGTCTTACGGCAAGATCTGCTGTGCTGACGCAGCCCTCGCCCAGGGGCCGCGGGGCTCAGGAGGGGACAGTGCTGAGCAGCAAAGGGCACAGCCTGCAGGTCAGCACACAGGAAACGGGCCGACAGTCACAGGGCGGCTGTGACAAGGAGAGAGGCAGCTCTTGCTACGCTGCTGGGAAACACGTCTAACACGCCCTAACAGGCTTCCCTGGTGGACGATGTTCCACACGTGCTGTGACAACTGGTCACCAGGGGAATCCAGAGTGTCCTTTGCGAATCCACAGGGAGAGGATTCCAGAAACTTGAGCCTGGTCCCCCTCCCCTGGGCCATCCCACCCGCCTTTTCCCTCTGTTGATCGCGCCCGTGTCCCTTCCCTGTAGCAAATCACAGCTGTGAGCACGACTCCGACACACTCAGGTCGACAGTGCTGAGATGAGGCTACACGGTGACGACAGCAAACACGTCACCCTCCGTGCCAAGGACTGATCTGCAAGTTTTGTGCAAACCCGCTCATTAATCTACACGACCCTGTGAAGGAGGTGCTAATAGCATCCCCATCTCACAGATGAAGAAACTGAGGCCAAGGGAGGTCAAACAGCTTGTCTGAAGTCACACGGTACACACAGAACCAGGTTCCTGGGAGCCCAGACTCTTAATGACTTTCGGGGACCACATCTTGGCTCTCACCGAGGGACCCGCAGAGAGCCCCATGTGCGGCCCCTACCTGCTGTAGCCCGCCTCGTAGAGAAACTGGGGCACCTGCGTGGTCTTCCCACTGCCGGTCTCGCCACACACAATGACGATGGGGTGCTCGGCCACGGCCTCCATGATCACTTGTTCTTCGGAGAGAATCGGGAGCTTCAGTCGCTCCTCCTGGCAGGAGAGAGGACGTCAGTGCCCAGGGCACTGGGGCGTGTGTGCCGCGGGACAGCAGCAGAGACGGGACTCCGCACAGACACAGCAAGACTACGTGGGGTGACATGGTCTCCACAAGGGTGGCAGCTGGCATGGGGGGGGGTGAACGGACGTGGTTGCTGGAGAATGGGGGCCTCGGCAGCTGGGACGGGGACAAAGAGCCATGGCCCACAGGAGACAGAGAAAGGGACTGTGTCCTTCGGAACGCTCTCGGCTACTGCTGGGGCGAGTCTCACTCGACGGCACAACCACCTTGGTAAACAATCTGGTGCTAATTTTATCAGAGTCAGGCACATGTGACCCGGCAACTCCTCTCCTACATGTGTCCTCTAGAGCCGTGGCTTTCATGCATTTTGCTCCTACGACCCATGGAAAGCAACACATTTTATACCAGGACTCAGTGCACGCACATACACATATATGTACTATGCACAGAAGGAAAAGTTCCATGTAACACCCTTATGTGTAAAGCATGCTGACAAGCTAGTATTTTTTATTTTGTTCTATTTCTATTTTAGTCCCTCCCATTTGTTCAAAAAGAAAAATGCTGGTCGTTTTATGACCCAAAGATGGCTGGGACCTCCAGTTTGCAAACGGTGCCCACGAGAAACTCACGTGCTCTGCTCATGTGCTCACAGGAGGAGACAAGAGTGTTTAGAACAGCAGTGGAGATAACAGCAAAATGCTACAACAACCCGCGTGCCCCGCGCCGGAATATGCACACTGCGGTACACGCACACAGCGGAATATGCACACTGCGGTACGCGCGCACAGCGGGACACGCACACTGCGGTACACGCACACAGGGGAATATGCACACTGTGGTACACGCACACAGCGGAATATGCACACTGCGGTACGCGCGCACAGCGGGACACGCACACTGTGGTACACGCACACAGGGGAATATGCACACTGTGGTACACGCACACAGCGGAATATGCACACTGCGGTGCGCGCGCACGGTGGAATATGCGACTGCGGGGGACAATCAACGCAGCTCGGCTACCTGCGTCAGCAGGGATGAACCCCAGGACACAACATCGAGTAACAAAAAAGCAAATCGGGGAAAAACGTAACTGACATGATGCCACTTATACAAACAGGCAAACCCACGAAATGTACGGCTTAGGACTAAGGTTAGGGAAAATCACAAGGAAAAGCAAAGGCTGCAGTCCCAAGGGATGGCAGGGACAGGAGGAGGGGGAGGCTGAGCCTCCCAACGACCGAATGACCGAATGACCGTGTGGAGCAGGGGACCACACCATCTCCCGCCACCAGGTGGCGTCATGATGGCACCTAGACATAAACCTTCGTGGTGTGAAGTCCTGGCAGGCTGGGGTCACCTGTTAGAGCAATCGGCTTATCCTGATTAAGACTTTTTACACAAGCACACATATAACTGGAATTACAACTTCATTATAAATAGTACTTATTAGGATCAATGTACTGGTATTTTCCATTCTCTTTTTTTTCATCTTTAAAAGAGGAGCTGGTCAGATCGCACCTGTTTCCACAATCCGCTCTGACTTGGTCAGAATAGGCGCTCCAGGGACCCAGCAGCCCTCCTGTTCCAGGGCCTTTGCTCATGCAGTTCTCGGCATGGGAGAGTCCCACCCTCTCCTCAACTCGTGCTGGTCCTTCAGCTCTTGCCCCAGACACGGTCGGTCCCCAACGAGGCCAGGCCCTGTTAGGCTACCCCCTCACTGTACCCGATCTCCTCCGTGGCTCTTGTCTCTACTTCTTTCTTTCACATTTTTTTTTTGCAGACATGGGGGTCTCACTGTGCTGCCCAGGCTGGTCCTGAACTCCTGGCCTCAAGCAATCCTCTAACTCTGACCTCGCAAAGTGCTGGGATTACAGGTGTGAGCCGCCGAGCCCGGCCTCTTGTCCCTATTTATGACAGTGTGTGGTCCATGTCAGCCGCCCCCACTGGACTGAAAGCTGCAGAGGGCGCAGACCATTCCATTTCCTGGGCCCCGCCCAGGGTCTGGCCCACAGCACACGCTCACTGGAAATGTGACGATGGACGGGCAGAGGAAATGACCACCACCTGTGTTGGGCCAGACCCAGGGCTAAGTGACCTCTTGGTGCTCACGATGTCACCAAAGCCTGACACCCACTGCGACAAGACAGCTGACCAGACTTCTAAGGTTCCAGAGTTCCTATCGTGTGCCATGGGCTTTACATACGCTGGATCCTTTTACCGTCACGACAACTCTCCTTGTACCAGGTGAGGAAACTGAGGCACAGAGAGGGGGTGCACCTTAAGCAGATGGAGTACCCCCATTTTCAGACAAAGAAAACGGGGCCCAGGAAGTGAGCTAGAGAGTGGTAGAGCCAGCACCGGATTTCAGGTCAACTGATCCCATGGCCCAAACCCTCACCGGGATCAGTGGCTACCGGGACTGGGAACCGTGGTCAGAGGAGGACGGTGACACGGCCAGCAGACGCCGACCTCGATCACCCAACTGTGCGCTGGGCCTGCTGTCAGCCCAGCGTCACCTGCATGGTGGGTCAGAGCTCCTCGGTCTCTGCAACGGCCCCGTGGGGCAGGGACAGGAAGAACGTAACCTGCCTTGCCTGGACGCCCTCTCTTCGCACCCAGCCCCTGGTCACGCTAACCTACATTTGTAATGACAAACAGCGGGAGAGCGAACCTGCATTTCCGGCGAGCGGTTCACGGGGATGAACACAGCGGGCTTCACCGGGGGCCTGGTCAGGGCGGAGGCTGCTGCCGGGCAAGCGGGAGTCCTAGCTGGCGGGGGCTGAGTGCTGGGTGCTGGGCTCTCGTCCCTGGCCTGCAGGGGAGCTGGCGGCAGGTGCGCTGCTGTTGTCCCTGCCTCAGCCTCTGCCTGCTCCACGGCTGGGGCGTCATCTGGCTCAGACTCCTCTGAGGATTCGGACTCCTCTGCTGAAGACAAGCGGCGACGCTTCCGGTGGGCCCCACTGAGGCTGCTGAACCTTTCTGGGCCCTGGGCTGGGAGCTCCTCAGGCTTCCTGCTGGGAGGGCAGAGATTTCAGGCACGGAGGTCCCGGATATCTGAGGCTGGCCAGGCCTGCTGAACACTCACCAGAGGTCAGGAATCTAAGGCTGTGCCCCTTTCTGCCTCAGGGCCTTTGCATTTGCTGTTCCCACTTCCTCAAACACCCTTCCTGCAGATAACTCTCCCCCCCCTTCACTCTTAACTCAAGCTTCTGCTCCAATGTCACCTAACAGGGAGACTGTCCCTGACCACACAGCCCGAGACACCTGTCCCTTCTCTCTCCACCCACTTCCCCCGCTTTGTTTTCTGCTCAGTATGTCCTAGCTTCCCTCCAACAGAGTATAAGCTCCTTGAGGGCAGGACTTTCTTTTTATGCACTGTCCCATCTGCAGGACCTAGAGGAGCTCCTGGGACAGAGTTTGCACTCGGTAAACAGTCATTAAATGAACAACAGGGCTCGCAGGGACGGGCCTGATCTAACTGGACAGAGCAGGCTGAGTGAGGCCACAGAGCGTGGCAGGACCCTGGGGAGGCACAGGGGCTCATCGAAGGGTCAGCTGCCTGGAGGAATGCCAACTTGGTGTGGCCAATTGTCCCACTGGTCAAGACCAGGTGGGAACCTGGATTTTATTGTGAAATCTCCTACTTCTTAAATGTTGGCCGTACTGGGTTAAATAATGTGTCCCCAAAATTCACATCTACCGAGAACCTCAAAACGAGACCTAATTTGGAGTAAGGGTCTTTGCAGATGTAATTAAGATGAGGTTATACTAGATTAGGATGGGCCTAGTCACACCAATGACTTGTGTTCTTATAGGAAGAGAAAAAAGAGACCCAGACTCAGGGCCTAGAGCCGGGTCTAGGAGAATGGCACGTGAGGATACAGGTACACGCTGGAAGGACGCTATGTGACGAAGGAAGCAGAGGCTAGAATGACGCAACTGCAAGCCAAGGAATGCCAAGGGCTGTTGGCAATCACCGCAAGTCAGGACGAGGCCCGGGACAGATTCTCCCCCGCAGCTTCCAGACAGAGCCACCTGTGCTCACACCTTGATGTCAGACTTCTGGCCTCCAGACTGTGACAGAATACATTCTTGTTTTAAAGCACTAAATTTGTGGTAATTTGTTACAGTAGCCCCGGGGAGCTTTTAGTAACATACTGGCAAACAATCCTACTGCCTTAGTAACACTACACAAACCAAACAAAGCCCGTAGATGGGTCAAATCAAGCTCTTGATCACCTAATGGCTATTCCTGGTCTAATCATCTGTACGAAAGCTGGAAGAACCTACGATGCAGGACTCCAAACTGCAGGGAACACAGACATCACCGGGGCAAGACACTTCAGGCCTTTACCAACTAGAGGCATCTAGCACGGACAGTCCACCATCAGCTACTCAGGCCACCATAAATCTATTTTCCCAAACACCGCACCCCCAGAAGCCTCCATAATCTGTGAGCCCTCCCCAGGGGGGCCCTGGCGGCAGGGAGGGGCTGGCCAACTCACTTTTTGATGTGGTACATGCGGTTCCCAGTGCCCAGCTTGGACGTGGTATAAAAGAGTCTCATCTCGGTGTCCGAAACCTGGACTTCACTCAATTTCTGTAGCATCTCTGCTCGCTGGGAAAGGAAATGAGGGTGTTATACATTTGGCATCACGACCCTCTTCTCAAGAGGGGAAATGACACTCTAAATAAAATCTCAGCATCGCTAACAGCTGGAGTCTCTTTAAATGAAGTCTAGGGTTGTACAAACGAGGCTCTCTTTGCAGCACTGAGTGTCATGATAGAAGACTATTGGCCATCCACACGTCCACCAACAGGAGACCGAACGGATGAAGCAGGGCAGTTGTAAGAGCAACACGCCCCAGAAGTTACGAGGGAGGAGGCAGCTTCCCACGTGCTGATGTGAACTGGTGCCCAAGACACCGTGAGTAACACAGCCTCAGTTGATTCTTTCACCTGGGTGAGGATTTCAAGAATTTCTGCTTTATTGTTTTTGAAATTGTACATATACTTTTTTTTTTTTTTTTAAGACACGAGGTCTCACTCTGTCACCCAAAATGGAGTACAGCAGCCTGATCACAGCTCAGTATAACCTTGACCTCCTGGGCCTACATGATCTTCCTGCCTCAGCCTCTCCTCCTGAGCAGCTGGGACTACAGGGTGCACACTACCACGCCTGGCTAATTTTTAAAAAATTTTTTGCAGAGACAGGGTCTTGCTATATTGCCCAGGCTGGTCTCGAACTCCTGGCCTCAAGTGATCCTCCCGCCTCAGTTTTCCAAGATGCTGGGATTACAGGCGTAAGCCACTGTGCCCAGCCCACATACTTCTATATGTGTGTTTCACAGTTTAAACAAAAAGCAAGGTATAGGACAGTGGGAAAAAACACTAAACAGGATTTAAAAAGGATACACTCACAGAAGAATGAGTCTTCCCTCTATTAACAGCACAACAGTGCTATCAAGGACTATTAAGGACTGCACATCAGTGACTGCTAAGGAGAGACCCGTGTGCTTCCTGATGGACATACACAGCACACGTGTGTCTTGTCAAACTTGAATCTGACGAAGCCTCCAGATCACGGTTCCTCAATCTCAGCACCACTGACGATTTGGGCGGAACAATTTTTTGTTGTTCTGTGCTTTGCGAGCTGTTCAGCATACCCCAGGCCTCCACCCAACTACATGCCAGTACCACCCCTAAGTCGTCAGAACCCAAAATGTCTCAATACATTGCTAATTGTCCCCTGGGAGATGGGGGAGCAGGGGACAAAACTGTCCCAGTTTAGAATCACTGCTCTAGATGCAAATATTAATGCACAGGAAATTCAGAAGGCAGAGCAGCATGTTTAAAATAAAATTTAAATCTACCACACTGAGTTGATCTACATAAAATACAAAATAAATAAATGAAAAAATGCAGATGGTAGGAAACTCTACAAGACAAACAATTCAGTTTCTTTCTTTCTTTTTTTTAAAGCACCTGCCACTGCACCCAGTTTCTTTAACAAATAAATTACAAGGGAAAAAAAAAAAACCAAATGGGTGGCATGAACCTATGAAACAATCAGAAACTTGACCATTTACTGGACATTAGATATTAAAAAAAAAATTAGGTGTCTAATGGTACTGTGGTTATTTAAAAAGGTTCCTATTTTCAGAGATACAAATTGAAATATTTATGGATGAAATGCTATGTATAGCAGGTTGAATGGTGCCCACCCCAAAGGTATGTCCGTATCCCGGAACTTGTGAATGTGACCTTGTTTGGAAAAAAGGTTTCTGCAGATGTAATTAAGTTACAGGATCTCAAGATGAGACCGTCCTGAGTATCTGAGCGGGCCCTAAATCAATGACAAGCGTCCTGACAACAGACGCAGACAGGAAAGGCCGTGTGAAGATGGAGGCGGAGACTGGAGTGATGCAGCCGCCTGCCAGGAGAGGCCGAGAAGGAGCCTCCTAGAGCCTAGCGAGGGGCACAGCCGGCTGCACCTTGATTTTGGACTTCTGGCCTCCAGAACTGCGAGAGAATAAATTCTTGTTGTTTTAAGCCATGCAGTTTGTGGTCATTTGTATGGCAGCCCCAGGAAACTGGTACAGATTTATACCACCTGGGATTTGCTTTGAAAGGATGCAGGGGTGGGAATGTGACCAGCAGTTGAGACGGCCCCAGAATGACCAGGGGCTGATCACCGTCGGAGCTGGTGATGGGAACACGGGAATTCATTACACTACTCTCTCTACGTTTGCAGATGTTTGAATTTCCCCTGACAGACCTTTTTGCTTAAGCAAAATTAAGGGAAAGAAAGTTTGAAATTCTCTAGAATAAAGTAAAAAAATAAGTAACACAAACGATCAGGAAAAGATGTGAGCACAAAAATTCAGTTCCTCAGCCAGAGTAGCCACATTTCAAAGGCTCAACAGCCACATGGGGCTAAGTGGCTACTGCACTGGACTGTGCAGACATAGAACACTTCCCGCATTCCAGAAAGTTCTATCGGATAGTCCTGCTGCAGAGACCACGCTGGGAGGACAGAGAGATGCCCCACGCTGGAGAGCTGTGCATAGACCCCTCAGAGCGGGCCGTACCTGGCTCTTCTTCTCCTTCTGTTCTAGGATTTTCTGCAGCACTTTCCTCTCTTTCTTGGTCAGAGGCTTCTTCTCCTTCTTCGACAGGGGAGGGGCTTTGGTCTTCTTTTTCTTCTTCCCCGGCAGAACGAGCGCGTTGCTTGCGTCAACCCCTTTCAGCGTGTCCTTGTCTGAAAAGACACACGCGCCTCACCCACAGCCCCGGGAGCCAGAGAGCACAGACGCTCATTGACGTCACCCTCTGCTCAGGAGCAAGGGGTCTGTGAGATCAAATCTATTCTCATAATACTATGACGTCCTCTTAAGAGAACTCAGTGGACTGGAGTGCCAAGTTTGTACCTATTTTAAATATATTAGTTTGAAAGCATACGACCTAGACCACTTTAGAAAAATTCAGCGATCATATTACACTTCAGCTCCACCTGCCGCAGAATCTTAGGGAGGAAGGACCTCGGAGGGCGCCTATTCCTGCCTCCCATCTGACGCTGGGGTTCCCTCTCTGGTGTTCCTGCATGGGCAGGATCTGATCCTTTGGTTAACTGCTCAGTTTGTATGCTTTTTTTTATGTTACAAAGAGCAGGAGAGGTTTTTGACCCTAATTAAGAAAAACGAGACAATTTTCTTTTTTTGATAACGTTGGTACCAATTTTTTAAAAGTTATTTTTGATGAGATAATTTTAAGCAATGCAAGCTATCCCCTCGTCTGTAGTTCTGAAACAAATAGAATTCAAAGCAAAAAAAAAAAAAAAAACATGCACAAGGGTGCTTTTCACAGGCTCCAAACCGAGTGACAATGTTGTTGCCGTGACAGTGAATGAAGCACTTGCTTGCACACATATTCCTGTGTTTCAAAACCTTCTCGCTTTTCATTTCTAATATGGCAAATATTGATTCATATAACCCACACTAACAAAAGCTCTTTGGGGACCTCAGTTTTAAAGAAGGTAAAAGTTTCCTGGTCAGATATAGTGGTTCACGCCTGCAATTCCAGCACTTTGGGAGGCTTAGGGGAGGATCACTCGAGGCTAGGAGTTTGAGACCAGCCTCAGGAATATAGTGAGACCCCATCTCTGAAAAAAATAAAAAAAATTAGCGGGGCACAGTGGCATGCACCTGTAGTCCCAGCTACTTGGGAGGCTGAGGCAGGAGGATCGCTTGAGACCAGGAGTTTGAGGTTGCTGTGAGCTACGATGATGCCACTGCACTCCAGCCTGGGCGACAGAGCAAGATGCTATATATTAAAAAAAAATAATAAAAAAAGGAAATGGACCAAAAAGTCTGAGAACCACTGTGCTATAGGAAAAGAAGGGAATGTGACAAAAATGAAAATAAGGGAGCAGGTGACAGTATCAGACGGGTGACTGGGAAGGCTCGTCAAAGGAGGCAATCTGTGCCACGTTCTCTTGAGATCCCTCTGCCCGAGAAAGGCGGGATAAATGAAGATGTCTTATTGTGATGTGAACAAGAACTTTTCCCAAATCTCGGGGTCAGAGACCTCAGCCCCTCTGCTCAGATGGCCCAGTTGCAAGCATTGGTCAGTGTCTTTGGCTCTCTTCGAGGTGCTGTCCTGAGCTGTCGCTGGTACTACAATGGTTGACACCTGTCCCAGGACACATCCTGCTTCTGCGGGCTTTCTTTACCTTTCAAAGCATTCCCATTTCAGTCACCAACATATTTTCCCAAAACATCACTTCCAAAACTCTAATAGCAGGTAGGATAGCTACTAAGGTTCAGTATCCTTTATCCAAAATGCTTGAGAGCAAAAGTGTTTCAGATTTTAGATTTTTTTGGATTTTGGAGTGTCTGCATTATACTTAGCAGCTGAGCATCTCCAATCCAAAAACCTGAAATCTGAAATGTTCCTATGAGCATTCCCTTTCTGTGTCATGTTGGCAAAGTTTAAAATTTTGAAGCATTTTGTATTTTGGATTAGGGATGCTCAACCTGTACTACTGGTCCCATCTTGCAGATTTGAAAACGGAGGCACAGGGATGTTAGGCCATTTGCCTCAGCCCCCAGCCTATCTGTGCAACCCTTGAGGAGAGAATTCAGACTTCCAGATTCCCACCCTGATGTTCTTCCCTATAATCTCACTGCCTTCCATGTCCAGCAGGAGCGTGGGAGAGCACGCTGACTGGGGGGTGGAGGGCAGCAGGCTACTCCAGGGGCCCTAGATCCCCTCTCTTGATTTCTGCAATCTTCCCTACAGCCACATCGGCCGGGCCTTTGGAGGCTCACACGGCAGCTGGACAAGTTGTTTTGGAACCCGTTTAGTTTCAGGCACCTGGTGGATATCCTTGAACCCACTCAATTGCTTCCCCACAACCGGCCCAGTAGAGGTGATGGATGCCTTCCTGCTGTTAAACCCGGTGGTGCTTCTCTCCCTCCCTGACCCTGAAACAGCACCTGAAGCCAATGGTGAGTGTCTTCCCTGGTCCCAGGACAACCACACTCTCCCAGCTCTCTCCTACCTCATGGCTACTCCATCCCCCTGGCACGATCCTCCTCAATTCCCTCCCCAGGGTCGACCTCATTCCCTCAGTCTTCTGGCTTTAAGTATATATCATCTATACACAGATGATTCCAGAATTAATATCGCCACCAAGACCTGCCTCTCTTGAACATCCACAGCCGCCTGCCTCTGCTTGGATGCCTAAGAGGTTCCAAGCCACTCATATCCAAAGCCCAGCTCCAAGCTGCCCGCTGGACACCTGGGAGTCATTCTTGCCACCTCCTTTGTCCTTGTGCACATTCTCTGACTTCAAAACACACCCAAATCCACCCACACCCACTTCTCACCTCTCCTACAGCTGTCTCCTGGTCCAAGCATCCACTCCACTTCCTACCCCACCACTCTGATTCTCCCTTTGTCCTCTACTGCTTTTCCTCAACACAGCAGCCAAAGTGATGCTGTTAAAAATAAGCCCTCCTCCTGCCCCTCCTCTGCGTAAACCCTCCTGTGCTCTCTTCTCACTCAGAGAAAAAGCGCCAGTCCTCGTCTTGCCCGTTGAGTCCGACCTGCCCTGGGCCCCGTTTTCTCTCTCCTATCACTCGGCCACTCAGGTCCTGACTCTCACACAGTGAGGCCCGCCCCGCATCCCTACGGAATCCGGCAACCACCCGAGCGCCTCCTCCGCTCACAGCCACACGACATTCTACACATTTTACGTGTTTCTCTTGCCTGTCTCCGCCCTTAAGCATGTAAACTCGGGGTGGCGGGGGATCTTTAAAATCTCCTTTTCTACCATGTCTCTAGTGCCTAGACCAGCGCCTGGCCTACAGGAGGGCGAGAGGAACCCCGAGTATTGTCCCTATTCATTGTTAAAACTAGGCTGTCACTAACGCCCCTCCTTTGGATCATCCGGAATGGGGCTACCTCTCTGGGCCCCCCGCCCCAGAGCTGCGAAGGCAGGGCACAGGCCGGAGGACCCCTGCCCTCACTGCCAGCCCTAGCAGCGAGGCTCTGGGTGGTCCCTCCCGCCAAATCCAACCCCAGTCCCGGGACGCCTTACCATCTAGCTCCAGCCGCACAGGGGGCGGCTCGGGGGGGCCCTTGGAGGGGCCGGGGCCCACCTGTTGGCGCCCCCTGACGTTGTACCGCCGGCGCAGCTTCCCCATGGCGCCTCCGCCTAGCTCGGCTCCCGCTGGCGGCAGCACCAAGTCTACCTGAAGCCCAGCCCACGTGGGTACCCAGACCACCAGCTCCAGCCGCTACACTTCCGGGTTAAGCTATCGCGAGAACTGGGACTGACGAGGACGCTGAGGGGCGGGGCTGAAGCCGGGGCCGTGCGGTAGGGCGGGGCCAGACCGGGGGCGGGGCGTGTGAGGCCGGGGCGGAGCAGGGGCGGGGCTATGCAAACTAGGGGGCGAGGCTCGAGTTCCCAGCACAGCCTTGAGTTAAGCCCAGGGCTGTTCCCGCGCGGTGTGCTCTGAGTCTAAATCTGAATTAGCTGTTAATACTCATTTGGCTACGTGAGAGTGGGAGTGTTTTGTCACCTTTTAAAATACACCCCTGGCCCTAATACTACAAACTGATTCTCCTACCCTGTTTTGTTAGTCTGCATTTCCTAATATTTCTATACAAGAAACATGTATTAGCTGTGTAGTAAAAAGGCGCCAAATAGTTCCATCGCAGGGACAGAGGGAAGATCTAAAAGAAGAAGG